AGTGGAAGGCTGAGTCAGAGAGACACTGCCAGCCGCCATGATGACAAGCTACATGTAAAGATGCCGGTAAGCCACGAGCCATGTGGCAAGGTATAGATTAATGGAAATGGATTAATTTAAGCTGTAAGAACAGTTAGCAAGAAGCCTGCCACGGCCATACAGTTTGTAACCAATATAAGTCTCTGTGTTTACTTGATCGGTTTGAGCGGCTTGGGACTGACAGGTGAGAGAGATTTGTCCTGACTGTGGGCCAGGCAGAAAAACTCTAGCTACAGCAACTTAATACCATATGGCACTTTAATTATTCCACTATTTTCATTTTCTCCTTTCCATCTATCTTTGCCTCTGTTCATCTGATATTATGTGCATGTCTCTCCATATTTGATCTTTTTCTTCATCATTATCACTGCTTGCTTAAGTCTCTAATCTAGCTCAGCTCTTAAAGTTTAGGATTGGCTACAAGACTAATAGAGAACTAAAGTATGTATGTATTTTTTAAATGTGTTTGTTTTAGTTGCCTTACTAATTCTAGCTCCACTATTGCACTTAGATGTCTCAGCTTTACTAGTAACTCAACATATCTAAAATTAAATAATTTCTAAATCCAACTTAAATTGTAAAACTTTTGTCTTTGCCAGTATCACTGCTATTAGACACCTACACTCAAATCTCTCACTGCTTAATTTCCTATATGCTTTCTATAAGCAGGTATCACCAAATCTACTATTTCTCTTTTCTGTACTTCCCTTACATTTCCATTACCATCTCTTCACATGTTAACACTATTGGAACCATAAGTATATGGCAGTCTTCTGTCCCTTAAACTCCTTTGTGTATGATAATTAAAAATTAAAGACTTTTTAAAAGGTGCAAACAAAGCTGAGTTTCCAGGTGAACTTAGAAATGATTGTAGCAGAGCTACACAAGGCCCAAGGAGCAGTCTCTGAGATAAGAGAGTGGAGGGTGTAAGAAGCAGTAGAGACAGGTTGTTAGATTGGTCCAGGTAGTCTACAAGATGGCTCATCAAGCAAAGGTACTTGGTGCTAAGCCTAACAACGTGAGCTCAGTTCCTGGGACCACATAGTTGAAGTAGAGAACTACCTCCCCTAAGTTGCCCTCTGGCCTCCACATGCACAACATGGCAGAAGGCTTGCACAACATAATACACACATCATATATGTGCACATACAAAATAAACTTCAAAATAATTTTAAGATATTGGGCCAAGAATTCTGATAACTGGGGCAGTGAATAGGCTTGCTGTCTATACAGAAAGGTTTTATATATTTTTACTTACTATATCTGAGTTACCCATATTCTAGAAAATGGTAGCATAAACATGTGGAAAATCTAAGAGTTTAGGTAATAGTAATCACCATAGTTCTGGAACTGCCTCTAGACCTTTCACATGTGACCAGCAACCCTTTTAACTCCTGTATTTCCACTATTAGAATCTTAATAATGATGGAATCTGTGGAGAAACACAGGAGGAACTCAACAGAATATGGTTCAATAACCTTTACAGATACTAAAGAAATATAGAAACAGTCAAGTTTAATGAGACTTTATAATCACAAAGAAGATCACTAAATTCAGTAATCTAGATAGAACTTCAACAGTGACTGCATAGTAAAATTATCTAGAAAGCTTTCATGAAGTAGGACAGTTCATTTCTACCCCTAGAGATTCAGATTTAATTGGTCTCATGTGAAGCTAATATAATTATTTTAGAAAAAAATGATGAACATGAGTGTATGGAAAAGCGAAGGCCTAAGGACACATGAACATTTTCCACATGACTCTACTGTATAAGCAGCTTTGAAAACCACAAATCTAGAGAAACCCCAGAGTCTTGTTTATCCTGCATCACTTCGGTACACTCTCTCTATATGCTGTTGATCAAGGCCCTTTCTGGTTTGGTTTTCACATCTATAAAATAAAGGTAGCAATAATTTCCTGGAAATGGCTGCTATGAAGACCCAGAATTTCTGTTTGAGGAGTTCGTTTTGTAGGAAGTCTTCAGTTAATCGTCTTTAAACTGAGGACTCACAAACAGACTTGAAAGAAGCCAATAGATAACCAAGGGATTATTTAAAAAAAAAGTTCCATTCAGGATATTTCTCATGTCTCTGATAATCTACTGACAGTATTAGTTTTCAAAACTAATTCTCAATTCCATTATAGAAACTGAACTCTGTTCTCTAGGAAAGAGTTCTAGGAATCTATACCTAACACCCCAGGTGATTCTTACCAGAGAAATTTGGTAAACATTGTACTTGATGTTAGTGAATTGCCATCCTAGTGTTCATTTACTGTAACAGGAGACATTTCCAGTTCTTTTTTTTTTTAATGTCTATGAATCCACACTGTATTTTTCCTAGTTTCAAAGAATATAGGAAACCAAATTAGAAACAGAAAGTTATTTAGTCAGCATGCAATAAGAGTGTAGAGAAAGAAGATGATTTTAAAGAATCATTCAAAGTTTTCAAACACTCAAAAACATTAAAGCTGTAGGTATGTGTGGGAGTATCATATAATATTTGATACAGGTATACTTTGTGTAATATATAAGAGAAGTTAAACACATTTATGTCTTAAGACATTTATGATTTCTTGTAGTGAAATTTTACAAAATCCATTTCCTTGCTTTTTGAAATATACAGGTTGTAATTGTTATCTGTAATTACCGTACAAGGGACTAACACCCCAGACCTTCTTGCTCCATCTCACTGTTAACAGTACACACCCTTTCCTTGCTTCCTATTATCCTTGGCCTTGGTGATGACCATTCTAATCTAAATTTCCATCCTATTAAATATTTTATATTTAACATAGGCAGAAGGTACATTTCATGCTGGCTTATATCACCTAAAATAGTTACATTCAGTTCTGTGTTGTCACAAGAGACAGGATTTTAGTATTTTTTTTTCATGACAGAATAACATTCATTGTGTGTATCATGTTTTATCCATTCAACAATTGGTGAGCACTTGAATTGTTTCATTTCTTGCCTATTGTAAATAATGTAAAATAATCATGGGAATGCATATGTCTCTTACATATTGATTTCAGTTCCTTTGGATATACACTAATACTGTATTTACAACAACATATGGTAGTTATTTTCTTATTTGATAAGTGGCACTTTAAATGGCTATTCTAATTTAGGTTTCCACCAACATTTTCTCCACATCCTCACCAGCCTTTCCTATCCTTAGGTTTTTTTTTTTTTTAATATTAGCCATTCTTCTTCAGGTATGGTGGCATCTTCTTGTTCTTTCAGTTTGCATTTACCTGATGCTTAGTGATGTTCTGTGATTTTCATGTACTTATTATTGGGCATTTGGATGTCTCCTTCTGAGAAATTACCAAAGGAGTTGTTGTTGTTGTTGTTGCTCCTGAGGTTTTGGTTCCTTATGTATTCTGGATATCAATTGCTTGTTATACACACAAATCACAATATTGTCTCCCATTTGTAGATTGTTAATTCTGTTTTGTGCTTCTTTTGTTGTGCAGGAGCATTAACATTTTTTAAAATCCTATTTGTCTGTATTTGCATTTGCTTCCTGAATTTTGAGAGCCTTTTCCAAAAAGTCCTCATGTATTACAATATCCTGGAGCATTTTACCTGTGCTATCTTCTAGTAATTTCACAGCTGTCAGTCTTTTTGTTGTTGTTTAGTTTTGAGATTATATTTCAATTACAGCCTTGATCCCTTCTCTTTCCTCCCTCAAAGCTCTCCTATATATTCCTCCCTCTCTCCTTGAAATTTATGGCCTCTTTTTTCATCAATTGTTATTGCCTGCATATACGTGTTTGCCCCTATGCCAATCTTATATTTAAGTCTTTAGTCCATTTTGAGTTGACCAACGTTACTGGTAAGAAATCTACTTACATTTTTATGTAGATAATCAATTTTACTAACACCATTTTTGAAAGACTGTTTTCTGTATAAAGGATGTTCTGAGTATTCTTACCAAAACATTCATTCAAATTTAAATATAACCTGTTGATTACTGGTCATTAACAATATGTATTAATAGTGAAGATGTTATTCAATATCATTTTTATTTTACCCTGCAAGTAGTCTCTTGTTTCTGTAAATAATTTTTGTTCAACAAAGGTCAATACACTTGAATATGACTAACTTATCATCCTTTAAGTTGATTAAGCTGCTGTTTGATTTACAGGAAAGTGATTTTGGTTGTCCTTAAAATTTATATGGTACCAATTTATTGCCTTGTCTCTAGAATAGTGTTTATTTTATACTTGTCTCATGAAAGTTGTTCACCTTCTTCTTCTGACCAAGAAGAAAGTGGAAGGCTGGTGGGATTTAGAAAATAAGTTTATTCCTGCTTCTAACCCTACTTTGAAAACAGAATAGTGAACTGTTATACAGCCTCTTTATAATTTTGGGTTTTTTGTTAACAGTTTGTTTGGGGGAAGAATTTTGTTTTGGTCTTGTGTTTTTGTTGTTTTTTGTTTTGTTTTTTACTCATTTTAAGTAGCAACTATCATTTCAGAATTTTTTCTTTGAACTTTTATCCTATGCACAGGGCTCACTGATTTTCTTTTCTAAAATTTGTGGGAATTATTTTTGGTAAATAGTGAACAACAGCGATTTAATAATAGCGAGCAAAAAAAGCTGTTGAAGAACAATGAATAATAAGTTTGTTAACCATGTTAAGTTTGAGGTCCTTGATATACAGTATATATAGCAACCGTAAGCAAGCAGATAGCAGATTCTTAGGAAATAAATGCAGACTATAGATATAGTGTATAGTATAAAGAATTCTGTGCATTAAATGTAGAGACATGGGCTAAGAGATGCTAACTCTACTCTTTGTTTCTGTGGGTATCAGCAAGTGATTTTATGTCTTGGGACCAATCTTTCTTGGGAAATTTCATGTAGAGGGTCTCTAATAAATGGTTATCCATCACTGACATTATATGATTCTAAGTGTTTCCATATTTATCTTCTTAAACTATCATTTTTATAGCCTATAGAATGAGAACCTACGTATGCCATATCTGCAGTATCACCTTTACATCTTTACATATGTTCCGGTCCCACATGCAAGGAAGTGAACATCAAATTAAGTAAGTGGTTTTTGCCAAAAACATTTTCATGTTACCAAAGACCAAAGTTTCTAGTCAAATGCTCTTTAATATACTTTACAAACTTTCTAGGTATTCATTTTCCTATGACCTGAACCTATAAGTGGTAGATGGTATTTGTAACATAATACACACTAGTGCCAAGGATATTTCCTAATCACAGTAATGAACTGGCAGATCTGTCTGGCAAGTTGGTACCCCCTCCTGAATAGACAACATTATTTTTCTTTGTAGATGTGCTGAAAGATCATTTTTTTCAGGCCAGCCATGCAAATACAAGGCATCTCAAAAGGTTTTCTTAGTTCCAAGGATTCAGTGATCTAATCATCATCTTTACAGTGAGGTATATAATGGTTAAGAGCAAAAGTCATGCTGTATACCTAGAATACAGAATCCACATCTGTTTTTAGTCACTATTAATATATGGTTTTAAATTGAGGAAAAATGAGTGGCAATTATACAGTAGGTAATTTTGGTAGCAGAGCAAAGGGTCATTTATGTTTTGTATATTTTTGGTTGTTGATTTTTAAATCAAAATGTAAGATTTATTATTTTATCCTATAAGAAAGTATTTATAGTATTGGAGTGTGATTACTTAGAGCTGTCTTAGTTACTTTTCTATTGCTATGACAAAACACCATTATCAAAGGCAACTAATAAAAGAAAGCATTTCATTGGGATTAATGGTTTCAGAGGGATAAGAAATCATGATGATGAAGCAAAGGCCTGGTGGCAGGAACAGCTGAGAACTCACATCTTGATACACAAGTAGGAGGCAGAGAAAGAACACTGAGAATGGCCAGAGTCTTTTGAAACCTTAAATTTTGCCCCCAGTGATACACCTCCTCCAACAAAGCCACACCTTCTAATCCTTTCCAAACAATTCCACCAACTGGGGACCAAAGTATTTAAGCATGAACCTATGGAGGCCATTCTCATTCACACCACAGCAACTAAATTGTCAGACTCAGCAAATGGAACTACATTTTAGACATTAAAAAGAAAAGCTCAGAATTTTAAATAAATAACCTGTTACATCTGTATATCTAATCAAAGAACTGGTTTTTTAAATGTTACACAGTTTATTAGGACATTAGTTATTAATGTTGATTAGACACATATACCAACATGTATTAATATTTGTGGTATTACAGTAGAATGAGATCATTCCACTCTTATGGCCATCCTCCATTTTTATCCCAGGCCTGAAAATTTATTAGCATGTATTTCTTATGCAAAATAATTGGTTTCATTGTGATGTTTTCATGTATTTCTAAAACACAATTGGATCATATTCATTCTCCCATTATATCCTAATATCCTCCCTCTTCCCTAATAGCCCCTCTTGTACTGTGATGGGAGTTTTAAAAAAATATCTAGATCCCACAAATGAAAGAAAACAGTCAAGACTTGTCTTTCTGGCTTTCTGGGCCTGGGGCATTTCACTTGACACCATGATCTCCATGTCTATCTTTTTTTTTTTCAGCAGACAGTATGATTTTTATTTTTTTGTGATTAAACAGTATTTCTTTGAACATCACAACATATTCTTTATTTATCTGCTGGTGGTCACCTAAACTATTGTGTAACTTGGCTGTGGTGAATAGTATTGCATTAAGTATTGCTGTATAGGCATCTCTCCTGTAAGCAACATAGGATTATTTGGGGTATATGTCTGGGAGTAATATAAAGTTGGATCTTATGGCAGTTATACATTTAGTTTTTGAGGAACCTCCATATAGATTTCCATAGTGGCTGCACTAATTTACATTCCTACCAAAATATATCTTCATTTTTTTCGCTGCATTCTCATCAACATTTGTTGTCTTGTGTTTTCCTTCTTTAATAAGTAAATTTTGTTCTTTAACAATTTTGTACATGTACACTATGTATTCTTTTTACTCTCCATATCTCTCTTCTGTTCCCTCCCCCCCAACACACACACCCTACTAACCACCTTTGCTTTGGTTCTCTTTAGTGTTCCACAAAGTTTATTTAGGGCTGTCTGCATGATCTTGAGTTTGGAACTAACCATCAGAACCTTATGTGATCACCATTGGGGTACACATCTGGATACTATGCTTACCCCTCTCCAACAATCTGTTGGTTGACAATAGCATGTAGTAGGACCTCATGAATCCTTTTCCTCTTCATAGTTGTTAGGAGGGCCCAACTTCTGTGGACCTGGTAACAGTATAGACAGCTGCTGTAAGTTCATAATTGTCACTTCTGTGTTATGCTTAAAAGATACAATTTTTAGCCCCTCTCCCCACTCACCGGAACTTAATATTCTTTCTGATCCATCTTCCCCAGTATTCCTTGAATATTAAGTGGGTGGTATAAATGTCTAGTCTAGGGCTGAGCCTTTATTCTCAGCATGTTGGGCAGCTATGGGTCTCTGCATTTACCTGCAAAGGAGAGGCTGCCGAGAATAGCCTTTGTCTGTGGGTATAAACCTAGACATTGAGAGGATGGTTTGATGCTGTCTTACCATCCCTTCCCAGAGTCTAAGACCTCTGCAGCCATGGGTTTTGGAGCAGGTTTACAGCAGTAGGCATGATTCCCTCTTAGGAAGCACGCTCCAAATCCATTTTCTCTCTAATGTTTCCGTGGCTATGCAATTCTAGAAGCTGTTCAGAAGAATATGTATCCTGCAGCTGTTGAATCAAATACTGTATGCTTAGTCCATTTGATTTATGGTGCAGTCTAACTCTAAAGTCTCTTTGATCTTTTTAGTCTTACAATGTATATATTCAGTGAATCAGAGGGATAGTTGGGATTTAGAAATATTAAAATGCATGGGTTTATATATCCACAAGTAAGGCTGGACAACATGAGATGAACCTTTTAAGATGGTTCTTCATTTCAGCAACAATGAGTTAAGCTGAGAAATACAGGAGACTCCTTCTTTGGGGCCAGCTTACTAATAGATCATAGGCCTCCCATCTTAGACTGTATTTTTGCAAGGTTCTAGTTTCTGTACTTTGGAACTCACCAAGAGTTTCCTTCTCTCTTCTGCTAAGAGCCCCACTGAGGGGCACCTTCCTTACCCATAGTTTATTGCTGTGCATTTGGTATTATGGTTCTCTATTTAAATCTCTTACAGCTCCAACATTCAGTATTCCTGTAGTTCACTTTGTTACTGTCTACTGTTGCACTCTGGTATCTTTCCACAGCATTGCCTCTCCCTGCTGCTCTTCATCTGTGAGTTTAATTCAATATCATGGAGAAAATGAAAGTGTCAGTGTCTCCACTCTGCCTACCATCTTCTAAGAAATGTTTTTGCATAAAATTTGTGAAATTCTGGAGAGATATCTGACTATCCATGCTATGTCTTTTGATCATCAAAATTCTTTTTTATAGTTTTAAATTTTTATTTCAGCCTTTGTAGAGTTTGTTTAAACTAATATTTTAGAGCAAAGATAATATTCATAGTAATCAAAACTTTGTGTTATTTTCTTTGTAGAGAATCTCATGTTATCAGTCAAGTGAAGAATTCAAAGAAGATGCAAGAGTCTTACCAAGGTGAATGTGCAGATTATATCAAAGTGAAGAAATCTAGAGAACTAGAGTCCAAGGCTCATTTCAGGAAGATGGAAGATAATTACTTGGAAGTCCATGGGTACAGAGAAATGGTTGATTCCAGACCCAGACATAAAATGCCTGAACAAACACTTCCACTTGAAAATTTCTGGGCACACCCAGGACCATATAATAATTCTCGAGCACTAGAAGACCAGTTACCTCATTGTTCACCAGCACAGTCAAAAACATATGACTCTTTCCAGGATGAGCTTGAAGATTACATCAAAGGGCAGAAGGCCAGAGGACTTGATCCCAATATTAGTTTTAGACGGATGACAGAAAACGATAGGTATAGGGATCATAGGTACAGAGAAAGGGTTGATTCTGAACACAGACAAAGGGTGTGTGAGGAAAGATTTTCATTTGAGAGTCCACATACCTTCCAGCGACAATACAATGGTTCACCAGTGGAAGGCCAGTTACCTCACTGGTTGCCACCTCATTCAAGGAGGAGAAATGATGATTTTCAAAATGAATTTGATGATTACAACAAGGTGCAGGAATCTAGAGAACTCAAGCCAAAGACTTCTTTTAGAAGAATTGATAGTGCTGTTGAAACTCATGATTACAGAGAAATGGTTGACAGAAGATCTAAGCATAGAATGTTTGAGCAAAGATTCCCATGTGAGACTTTCCAGACTTACACAGATCCATACAACAATTCACAAGCTATAGAAAACAAATTACCTCATTATTTACCAGCTTATGAGAGCCAACAGAGCTTAGACTCTGATAGCTACTATCATTTCACCAGAGATTATTTCTCAGAAAAACCTGTTCCCCTGAGCCTTAGTCAGCAAGAAAATAACCCTAGCTCCCACAGTGTAGAATATGACATTTACAAGCAGCTGCTGCCCCCATATGACAGTGCCAGTGCCCAGGAAACAAGTCATAAAAGACGACATCAGAAGAGAAGACGACACCTGGGGGAAGAGAAAGAAAGGCCAGAGAAGGAACAGTCCAAGCATAAAAGAAAAAGGAGCTATCAGGATAAAGAGTTAGACAAAGACAAGAGCATCGAGCAAACAAAAGAAGAGGAAGATAAAGCTGGAGTCAGTTCTGAAAAAATCAAGCACAGAAAAAAGAAAAGAAAACATGAAGCATCCTCAGAGAAAGAAGAACGTAAGCACAAGAAAGAGAAAAAGAAATCTGTTGAAGAGAGAACAGAAGAGGAAATCCTTTGGGATGAGTCAATTCTTGGGTTCTGAACTTATAGGATACCCAAGAATGGCTAAGAGAAAACAATCCTGACTTAGATAAAGACAGGACTAACTAGTGAAGTTAAGGAAAGGGAGGTATAATATCAGCTCAAAAACCTTTAGAGCTTTTGTTTGCAAAAATTGAAATTGAACGTGAGAAACACAAGACATCTAAATCCAGCCTTTAGGGAAGTGTTTTGAGGTAAACCTACTCAAGAATTTTGAACTTTTAGTTTTACTTACAGAAGAGTGAATCAAGAAAATCTGTTGGAAATTTTCCAAGTAAATTTAGATAAAATCAAACACTTCAACTAAAGAGAAGAGTTCACAAAAGTCTCTCTCTCTCTCCCTCTCCCTCTCTCTGTCTCTGTGTATGTATGTATATGTGTGTGCCCTCTGCTCTGCTTTCCTCTCTTACCTACTCCCCCCTCATCATTCCCTCCTTTCAAAATGTAATTGAAAGAAGGACCACAAAGCCTAAACCTAGCCTTCAAGAAGCAAGAACATAATACTAAGAAGAATGGGAGAGGAAGAAACCTACTGAAGAAAATCCAGAAGATGCAGTGCTTTCTACTTTGCCGTTTTGTTCCTTTAAGGTTGAAGAAAGGTTGAACACGTTTGGTTTAATGAAATTTGTGTTATTTGTGTATTTGTACATGTGTACAGCAAATCGCTAACAAAAGCCAGATGGAGTAAAAATATTCAATATGCTTTTTAAACTTACTTTCTCTGATTTTTCTAAGAAAGAAAACTTATTCTATTGCTTATATATATAATATGGTTTTCTTAAGTAGAGGTGTTTCTACTTGGTCCATCAAGTTGCAATGAAAATGAGTTGTTTGCTCATGGAAATAATATCCTTAAAATGGTGAATTACAAAGCAGTCTATAGCCATACCACCCTGAATTTTTCCCAGTCTTGTTTGATTTTGGAAGAATGGTCAGGCCTGTGGGAGACCAGACTTCACAGAACCCATTCCTTTTAGAATTTGTTTGTATTGGTGGTATTTTACTACTATTGTGTGTTAATGTTTCTGTTTTCTCCAATGAAAATGTATGAAGCAACTTAGACCTTTTTTGTTAAATCTAATTTGCAGTGTATTTTTGTATTTTCTAGTTCTGAAAGTGGAAAATTCATGTATAATAAATTAGATGATATATACTTTTAAAATGTTCTCCAAAGGGCTGATAGAAATCAGTCTATATTCTGAAAAATGTTTATATTAAAGTATTTTAATTTCTAAATACTTCTTTGTGATCATTTCCATCAAAAGATTATTGTTCTACCCATGTGAGGAACAAGAAATGGAGTTTGCAAGTAATTTTTAGGAAGACCACACAGTGAAGCTGTAATTTCATTTGTTCTACAGATTGCTTGGTAGAAGTTAGCATTCAGAAAGTGAAGGAGAAAAATTTTATAAGTGGTTAAGTACTATGGGGGTTTGTTAACTTTAAATTATATGATTTTTAATTTTTTCTCCTAGTGCACTATGTTTAATGACCAGTACTTTCTGTAAGAACTTGAGCATTATTACGCTATAGTAGGAAGTGTAAAGGCCTAAGATATCCAAATCACAGGATTATGATCTTAGTTGTGCCATCTGGTTGCTACATGATTTTGCAAAGATACCACCAGAACCCAATTTGCAGTCCAGAGACAGAAAATATAAAATATCATAGGCCCTGTATATGCTAATCTTGTCAAAAATCATACCAAATGTGATGGTGATATATCTGCATCTGGGAAATCAATTTTATATTTTTCTGAGGTTTGAATTAATGACAAGTAGAAGGTGGAACATGATGATTGTGTTTATTCCTAGATGAGTGAATTATTCCAAAGAATGTTAAGTTGTCATAAAATCAATTTCTCTTCCATGATACTTTTAGTATAAGATAAATTTATATGAGTGTATTAACACTCTTAAAGAAACATTTGAGATACTGGTTAAAAAAATAGTAAGACAGATAGAGTAGACTGAATTTCCAGCCATAATGGTGGCAAATTTTCTTTTGATCACACACACACACACACACACACACACACACACACACACACACACACACATACATTGTGGTCACATAAAATGTTAGAAATCAATTGAATTGATAGAATTTTTGGATTGGTAGATTCTTTTTTGAATATCTTTTTTTTTTATTTTGCAATACAATTCAGTTCTACATATCAGCCACGGATTCCCTTGTTCTCCCCCCTCCCGTCCCCCTCACCTTCCCCCCAGCCCACCCCCCATTCCCACCTCCTCCAGGGCAAAGCCTTCCCCACAGACTGAGGTCTACCTGGTAGACTCAGTCCAGGCAGGTCCAGTCCCCTCCTCCCAGGCTGAGCCAAGCATCCCTGCATAAGTCCCAGGTTTCAAACAGCCAACTCATGCGATGAGCACAGGACCTGGTCCCACTGCCTGGATGCCTCCCAAACAGATCAAGCCAATCAACTGTCTCACCTATTCAGAGGGCCTGATCCAGTGGGGACCCCTCAGCCATTGGTTCATAGTTCATGTGCTTCCATTCATTTGGCTATTTGTCCCTGTGCTTTATCCAACCTTGGTCTCAACAATTCTCGCTCATATAAACCCTCCTCATTCTTGCTAAATGGACTCCCAGAGATCCACCCGGGGCCTAGCCATGGATCTCTGCATCCAGATCCCTCAGTAGTTGGATGGGGTTTCTAGCATGACAATTAGGGTGTTTGGCCATCCCATCACCAGAGTAGGTCAGTTCGGGCTGTCTCTCGACCATTGCCAGCAGTCTGTTGTGGGGGCATCTTTGTGGATTTCTGTGGGCCTCTCTAGCACTTTGCTTTCCACTTTGTGCTCAATTCTGTTGGAGACATTCAAAACTATCCCATATTTTGTGAGTAAACTGGGGGCGGGACAGATGAGAACAGGAGGAATCAATCAGGTTGGGTGTGGAGGGAGAGGGTACTGGGAGAAACATCTGGAGTTGGGGAACATTTGGGGGGTGATGTGGAAAGCTAGTGCAGTAGAAACTCTCAGGATTCTGAGGGAGAACCTAGTGAGAACTTCTAGTAATGAAGAATACAGAGCTGGAACTGCCCGTCTTCTGTAACCAGGCAAGGCTTCCAGCACTGGGCCTGGGACACCAACCCCGCCACAAAACCTTCAGCCTACAATCTGTCCTGCCTCCAAGATGTGCTGGGGTAATGGTGGTGGTGCAGAACTTGTGAGGCCGACCAACTAATGACTGGTCCAACTTGAGGCCCATGCCACAAGAGGGAATCCATGCCTGACACTGCCTGAATGGCAAGGAATCAGAGGCCGGACAGCCCAGAGACCCAGAATAGAATCAAATATGACTGGAAAAAAATCAAGGAAATGATTACTAATGATATTGTGCTATATTTATATTCATTGATTCGTGCCTAACCCAGTTGTCCTCAGAGGGGCATCATCCAGCAACTGATGGGAGCAGATGCAGAAACCCACAGTCGAACACTAGGCAGAGCAGGGGAATCCCACAGAAGAGGTGGAGGGAGGATTGCAGGAGCCAGAGGAGTCAAGGACACCACTGGAACACAGGACACAGAATCAACAAATCTCTCTTAACTACTTCCAACTGACAAAATGAGTGATAGAGAAGAGGGCAGCAGTTACAGTGCCTCAGAGGAGGGCCCATCCAAGGGGCCACTATAAACCTCAACAGATGGCAAAAGTCCAGAATACAAGTCAGGAGGTAATAATCATACATTCTTGTGGGGAACATTAAAAGTCAAAGTCAATGAGGAAAATTGCTACAAAAAAATAAGTATTGTGAAATGCAATTGTACAACTGGCTGGACTATGTATCAGAATTCTGTAGAAGGATAAGGTAGTTAGCTGTCAGACTCCTCCATAAGGAAGAAGCACCTGGAAGTTTTGCAAAGAAAGTCAGTTAAACTCAGCATCCAATTGAAAATTCAAAAGAGAAATAAATAGTAGAATATTATTTTAAGATTTGTTACATTTGTTTATGCTGTGGAACCTTTTTTTGATGATGCAAAGATGTGTTACATTCTTTTATGTTGCATTTGTTTGACTCTGTGAAGCTGTGTTACTGTGCCTACCTAAAACACTTGATGGTTTAATGAAGAGCTGAATGGCCAATAGATAGGCAGGGGAGAGATAGGCAGGGCTGCCAGGCAGAGAGAATAAATAGAAGGGGAAATCTTGGAGGAAGAAGAAAGAGCAAGAGAACAAAGAGAGGAAGATGCTAAGGGCCAGCCACACAGCCACACAGCCAGCCACAGAATAAGAGTGAAAGTAAAATTTACAGAAGTAGGAGAAAGATAAAACCCCAGAGACAAAAGGTAGATGGGATAATTTAAGTTAAGAAAAGCTAGCAAGAAACAAGCCAAACTAACAAACTGGGCATTTATAATTAAGAATAAGCCTCTGTGTATAATTTATTTGGGAGCTGGGTGACAGGCCCCCCAAAAGAGCAAAAACAACCAACATCAGAAATATAATTCTACTGAGTCATTTTTATAGGATTGTCTAGCAATGTTTCCAAAGACACTGGTTGGAAATCATGAATAGCTTTCCAAAAATGTGAGTTTGATCCAACAGAGTATCTGGCAGCCTCCTTTATCAGGGAACATGAGTGGTTAGGGTGTGGACCTGGAATTAGCTTTTGCTAAAATGAAAAAATGAAATTCAGGGTAAAGGGCATGACCAATTGAACTAACATGAAAGTCTCATGCCAGTAGGGTGCCACTTAGGTATATGGTTCCCCTGTTCATAGCATCCTCATGTTTGGGAGAAAGGACAGACAAATTGGTATTTACCTCTCTGTTGATTAGACTTTTAGGATGTTGGTACACTCTAAGATCCTCCACTGTGCTAAAGAATCCATCCCCATGTCATGTGAAACATGAAGAGTAATTCATCTTCCCTTTAGATGAGGAGGTTTTACTGGTCTGGCCTACACAGCCAGAGACAGGATCAGCAAACTGCTAGCAGGTCTTGTTTCTCTATGCATCCTTATCTGTAATGAGGTTAGCATGCATCTAGGGATGTCCTGCCATGCAAGTGTATTGTAAATTTAACTCATTTTACTCAAGCATTCCATTTTTTTACAACCAGATTTTTTAAATATACCTTATTTTGAATATTATTTTATATAAACAAACTTTAACTTACTTTAAACTTGTTTTGAGTTACTTGCTTCAGGTTTAGCACTGATAACATATACTTTATGTATATGTTGTCCTTATAATGGGACATATATGGTCTTTCCTTCCAAGCTTATCTCTGTAAATGAATTAAATTTTTACTTAGTATGGCTACAAACATAGTTCAGAGCATACTAAAGAAATTTGATCATTTATAAGGTGACTGGTCATTAACTTTTATGTCTCCAAATAGCTAAAGCTTTAACAAAGTTATCAAAGACACAAGTGATTAAGCATATAACTTTAAGTTAGCTTTTTAGCATTAATAGATCCTTATAATCCTAATAATTTCTAAATATTGATTTTCAAACATGTATTCTTATGTCCTCCATCAACCCTGGATAATTTACTCAGACCTTCTGTGACTGCCTTCTGTTGCTTTGCCCTCTTCTGTTATTTCTTAGGACAAATTTTCATTTCATCATACAAAATCCACCCTTATCCAAAATATTTAACTCTTTATAAATTTTGTAGAAGTTACTCAAATCTTCTGCAACTTGGCTGTAAACCTTATCTTTTACATCCAATTAAACATTTTCCTTCATATCTACATACTGTTTCTTTCCATTTCCCCAAACAAAAGTTGAATCCAAGTTACAAATATGGTATTCTGTAGCAAATTAAACTTCCCCATACACAGATGTTTGTTTATTATGTTTTAAGTTAACTTTTTTTCCTGCTTGGAATTTTGCAACTTTTTAAAACCATCCCTCAACAGTCTTACATATCCTGAGAGAAAGAAAGTTTACATTCCAGCAAAGGCTTCACAGATCTCCATGCCCTTAAATGAGGGAACATTTTGTAAACAGGAACCAAGAAAAAGAAAGGCCAAGAAGAGGGGCCAGTATTCAGAGATCTAGGCATCTGTGATTATATTTAGCCATCTTAATTTTTATGTATAAATTTCTCTTTAAAAAACTTTAATTGCCATGTGATAAAGAAGTGTAACCTCTATTGGAAAGTTTACCTCTTAGCTGTTCTCAAGCATATAATGTCTTCCTCCTGTCCTGGTGTTCTCCTTCTCTCTTTCAGAATCAGATGGTCATACTGA